ATCATGGATGGCTTTTGATGATAGCCCCTTCTTATGGAGGTACTTAATGACGGCACGCTGCTCGATTTGCTCCATTCGCGGAAATTATGTCCGATTACTTTGTTAATAAATTTATAAAATCACAACTAATTATCGCACACGTTTCGAACTTCACACAATGAACTAGTCTGAACTGAACTAAATAATGTGGGTAGATTTGATGTTTAGAATTGAATGGATCTGTGTTAGGCCGAGTACTTTTCAATCCACCCTCGTATGATCATACTGGTTAATGTGGTCCCTTTTTTGTAACTCAAAAACTGCAGCCTTGTTTGCATAGATGGCTTTGTGATACAATAGTTCCTCATCGGTCAATCAAATAATAAAGGGTCCAAAGGGAGTTGCTTCAACGACGCCATTTTGACAGTTGACATTATACTCGTAGTAAATATTTTAGTCGATTTTAGTATGGTGTAGTGTAATTAGTTTTTAAAGGTGATTTATAGAAGTGCTCATAATAATTGCCAAAGCCTGTTTGCTATTTTTTATTATTTTTTCAATATATTAGTTACTTATATTATTTTTGTATCTGTCCTTCCCTTTGTTTTGGTTTCATAGGGTCGCAAAAATAGAATTATTAGACTTACTCTATGGTCGCAAAGATGACCATATTACCCACACGTACCTTACACAAAATTCAACCTCCTCAAGGTACAAAAACTTTATCAAACAAAGTTTGTATGAAAAGTGTTATTATAGTATTAAGGAATTCATAGATTGTAAGCTGTTTTTTTTTAAGTTCCGCTGGGTGTCTTCCTGGGTCTAGGACATAGATTTTTTTCTGAACCAGTAGTAAAAAGTAAAGTAAAGTTACAGTCTATATACGTCCCACTGCTGGGCACAGGCCTCCCCTCATTTCTGAGAGGGTTTTAGGGCAAGGAAGTGTCCGTCGCGCTGCCTAGTGCATGTTGCCGAACTTCACATGTCTTCGAAATATTTTTTTTCAGTCCTCAGACATGCAGGTTTCCTCACGATGTTTTCCTTCACCGCCGAGCACGTGGTAAATCAGCACTTAAAATTGCAATTAACAATTTCATTGATACCAGCAGCGGATATTTACAGCGAGCATTAACCATCCGAGCTACGACGGCTCTGAGTCGTGGAACCAGTAGTAAATTAAACAAAAGAGTGACTTTCAATAACTATACATATAATCTATAATGAATGAAAAGTCACTGTTTCTGTTTCTTAATCCGATATTACACGGATAGCCGTGATATTAACCAATACGTGATAGATAATAGAATTACGTTTGAACGATGCTCCAAAGTGTCTTGTAATCGCACTTGTATGTACCTGATACCTAAATGAAACAATTGCTTTAATTAACTACTCATTGAATTCACACAACGACCGGTCGTTTAATTTTTTGTTCGAGTAACTTAACATTGAACTTGGTACAAAAATTTTTACTCCATTAGTTAAAGTAGAATTTATAGTTTATTTTAGCCACACACTTCTCCCGGACTGGGTTTTTTTTTCGGGATAAAATATAACCTAGAGCACTCCTGGTATTGCTCTCTACCATGATTCAGCTGGCACGGAGACCAGCTCGCACAGACAGACACACACGTCGTTGACAGACAAAATATAAAAAAATAGTTTTATACGTGGTAGAGCCATGCTGCAGTTATATTAGTAGTATAGTTGTAGCACGAATGGGTCGGCTCGACCGGGGAAGAACCACGCTCTCTTAGTCCTCACGGGTGACAACGCATCTGCATTTTGATTTGTAATCGAGGATAGATGTAGATGTCTATGGGCCACAGCAACCACTTACCATCAGGTGGACTGTGTGCTCGTTTGTCATCTTTATTCTATATAAAATGACTGACTCATTGTTTGAGTGGTTGTAAACGCGGTTGCTAAATATGTAGTCCCGGGTTGGGTTCAAATCAGTTAATGGATTTTCCTGTTAAGAGACTTTCAGTAGCAGTTTTTTAATTACATTTAGATACAAATTACATACTGATGAATAATATTTTTGATCTTATTGACATAATAGAAAAAACTAAACTGGTTATTTCAATAAAAAATCATGTGTGCAATTAGTTTAATTAAAATTTTCGAATTTTTAAAAATACTAAAAAAAAGCTCGAAATAATAGATTTTCTCACAAAAGAAGGGAACATTTTCTAAAAATAAATCCTAGCTAGATCGATTTTTTGCCCCCGAAACTCCCTGGACACTGAATTTTATGAAAATCGTTAGAGCTGTTTCCGAGATTCCGATTATATATATACATATATACAAGAATTGCTCGTTTAAAGGTATAGGATAAAAATATCCAATTGGTAATAAAATAAATGTCAAAAGATTAATTACGAAAAACAATGTCACACAATCGTGTACTTACGTGTAATGTCAAAATATAAATGTTCATATTAGGTATGTAAAAATAGTAAAAGTTTTATTTTATTTACTCACAGGAAAATTCAAGCAATTCAGTATAGCATAATCTTTTATTTTCAAGATACTCATTAACAGTATAGAAACAAATAAGTAAGCACCATTCATGAAGTTTGTTTTTATTTTGTCATTGGGAAATTCCTTTATAAATTAAACTCGTCGGGTACCTAAAGATTTTAATCGCCATTATGTACGATTCAAACGCAGATGCGTAGTCATCCCTAAACACTAAGATGAAATGCATCGTTTCTAGTAAAAAAAGGTCTGCGGTTCTTCAAACTCACTATTCGAAACACAGCAGCATTAAGTTGCTACTACACGCTGGTATTGGTGAGAGCGTGGTCCTACCCCAGTCGATTCTACCCATTCGTGCAACAATAATATAGCTGCAGCGTGGCTTAACCACGTACACGTATCAATTAACAACATAGTGATAATATAAGCAATAAATTATCCATTACAATATTTTGATAAGTTATTCACAAACAAATTGACAGTTAATTTAGAAAAAAGCCAATCTGTCAAAAGTGCCGCCATGACACCGCCATATTGGAATGACGCGTGTCCATTAAATAAATTACATTGACTAATGAATCGTCGATACGTTGTAGCTATTGTTCACGGATTCCATCGGTTATATTAAACTACTATATTTACTTCCCCGGCTTCGCATGGATATGATATATTTATCGTAATCATCATCAATTTCACTGCTTAATATAGGCCTTTCCCAGGGAATGCCACAAAGCACGGACCTCAGCCACCTGCAGCCATCGATTCTTGAATGTCTTACCCCACACTTCGACTACCGGTACGAGGCACACTCGAGAACCTTTCTTCCCCATCGGTTGTCGGTTCTTCGTATTATATGGCCGGCCTATAAGATATATTAATATATACGTGGTAGATCATGCTGCAGCTATATTAGTAGTACAGATGTAGTAAGAATGGGGCGGCTCAACCGGGGAACGACCACCTTCTCACAGAATACCAGCGTTAAATAGCAACTTAATGCTGCTGTGTTTCGTATGGTGAGTTTGGAGAACTGGAGACCCTTTTTATTCAAAACGATGTTCTTCATCTTAGTCCTCAGGGGTGACTACGTATCTGCATTTTGATCCGTAATCGAGGATACGATATATACCTACGTGATAGAGCCACGCTGCAGCCATATTATGGTTGTAGCATGAATGAGTCGGCTCGACCGGGGTAGGGCCACGCTCTTACAGAATACCAGCGTGAAATAGTAGTTTAATGCCGCTGTGTTTCGTAAGGTGAGTTTAGAGAACCGGATACCCTTTTTACTGGAAACGAGGCATTCCATCTTAGTCCTCACGGGTGACAACGCATCTGCCTTTTGATTCTTAATCGAGGATAAATGTAGATGTCTATGGGCCACAGCATACACTTACCATTAGGTGGACTGTGTGCTCGATTATTTCCCTTATATTACTTTTTTTAAATAAATGTGACGTTATTTGTATGTAAAGTAATCACAGACTATTTTAATTAAATAAACATTTCAAACTTTTGAAATAGCCTTATAGTCTTCCGGATAAAGTACAACCTGATTCCCTCCTGGGATTGTTTTCTGCCTGTTCGTAAAGTTTTATCTCAACTGATTGAGCCATTCAGTCCTAATATTGTCCCGGACACACGTACACACGGACAGATAAGGATTAAAAAAATTATATTTATTATATTCAGAAATTTATAGATGATAATAACCCCTGAGGATGATGTGATCGCTACCTTGCTCTTTCTAATTTGTTTTGTGTTGTTAATTGTTGTGCAACTTTAATTATTAAAAACGTAATTTTTGTAATGTGCCAGCATCTGCACTTCCATGCAATTATAATGAGAATGTCTTCAAGGCAAGAGTAAATACGCTGTTGTTAGCTCAGTAAGCTCCAAATGAAGGCGCTTTACTTGAAACTTACTGAGCTAACAGCGTATTTACTTCGAGCTTCGGCTACATCAGCAGCTACCTTCAGTTGAGCTGCTCGCCAAGAACTAGATTACAATGCTTCTCTCCCATATCGAAGGTATTTACTTCGAGCTTCGGCTACATCAGCAGCTACCTTCAGTTGAGCTGCTCGCCAAGAACTAGATTACAATGCTTCTCTCCCATATCGAACGTATTTACTTCGAGCTTCGGCTACATCAGCAGCTACCTACAGTTGAGCTGCTCGCCAAGAACTAGATTACAATGCTTCTCTCCCATATCGAACGTATTTACTTCGAGCTTCGACTACATCAGCAGCTACCTTCAGTTGAGCTGCTCGCCAAGAACTAGATTACAATGCTTCTCTCCCATATCGAACGTATTTACTTCGAGCTTCGACTACATCAGCAGCTACCTTCAGTTGAGCTGCTCGCCAAGAACTAGATTACAATGCTTCTCTCCCATATCGAACGTATTTACTTCGAGCTTCGGCTACATCAGCAGCTACCTACAGTTGAGCTGCTCGCCAAGAACTAGATTACAATGCTTCTCTCCCATATCGAACGTATTTACTTAGAGCTTCGGCTACATCAGCAGCTACCTTCAGTTGAGCTGCTCGCCAAGAACTAGATTACAATGCTTCTCTCCCATATCGAACGTATTTACTTCGAGCTTCGGCTACACCAGCAGCTACCTTCAGTTGAGCTGCTCGCCAAGAACTAGATTACAATGCTTCTCTCCCATATCGAACGTATTTACTTCGAGCTTCGGCTACATCAGCAGCTACCTTCAGTTGAGCTGCTCGCCAAGAACTAGATTACAATGCTTCTCTCCCATATCGAACGTATTTACTTCGAGCTTCGGCTACATCAGCAGCTACCTTCAGTTGAGCTGCTCGCCAAGAACTAGATTACAATGCTTCTCTCCCATATCGAACGTATTTACTTCGAGCTTCGGCTACATCAGCAGCTACCTTCAGTTGAGCTGCTCGCCAAGAACTAGATTACAATGCTTCTCTCCCATATCGAACGTATTTACTTCGAGCTTCGACTACATCAGCAGCTACCTTCAGTTGAGCTGCTCGCCAAGAACTAGATTACAATGCTTCTCTCCCATATCGAACGTATTTACTTCGAGCTTCGGCTACATCAGCAGCTACCTACAGTTGAGCTGCTCGCCAAGAACTAGATTACAATGCTTCTCTCCCATATCGAACGTATTTACTTCGAGCTTCGACTACATCAGCAGCTACCTTCAGTTGAGCTGCTCGCCAAGAACTAGATTACAATGCTTCTCTCCCATATCGAACGTATTTACTTCGAGCTTCGGCTACATCAGCAGCTACCTTCAGTTGAGCTGCTCGCCAAGAACTAGATTACAATGCTTCTCTCCCATATCGAACGTATTTACTTCGAGCTTCGGCTACATCAGCAGCTACCTACAGTTGAGCTGCTCGCCAAGAACTAGATTACAATGCTTCTCTCCCATATCGAACGTATTTACTTCGAGCTTCGGCTACATCAGCAGCTACCTACAGTTGAGCTGCTCGCCAAGAACTAGATTACAATGCTTCTCTCCCATATCGAACGTATTTACTTCGAGCTTCGGCTACATCAGCAGCTACCTACAGTTGAGCTGCTCGCCAAGAACTAGATTACAATGCTTCTCTCCCATATCGAACGTATTTACTTCGAGCTTCGGCTACATCAGCAGCTACCTACAGTTGAGCTGCTCGCCAAGAACTAGATTACAATGCTTCTCTCCCATATCGAACGTATTTACTTCGAGCTTCGGCTACATCAGCAGCTACCTACAGTTGAGCTGCTCGCCAAGAACTAGATTACAATGCTTCTCTCCCATATCGAACGTATTTACTTCGAGCTTCGGCTACATCAGCAGCTACCTACAGTTGAGCTGCTCGCCAAGAACTAGATTACAATGCTTCTCTCCCATATCGAACGTATTTACTTCGAGCTTCGGCTACATCAGCAGCTACCTACAGTTGAGCTGCTCGCCAAGAACTAGATTACAATGCTTCTCTCCCATATCGAACGTATTTACTTCGAGCTTCGACTACATCAGCAGCTACCTTCAGTTGAGCTGCTCGCCAAGAACTAGATTACAATGCTTCTCTCCCATATCGAACGTATTTACTTCGAGCTTCGAGCTACATCAGCAGCTACCTTCAGTTGAGCTGCTCGCCAAGAACTAGATTACAATGCTTCTCTCCCATATCGAACGTATTTACTTCGAGCTTCGGCTACATCAGCAGCTACCTACAGTTGAGCTGCTCGCCAAGAACTAGATTACAATGCTTCTCTCCCATATCGAACGTATTTACTTCGAGCTTCGACTACATCAGCAGCTACCTTCAGTTGAGCTGCTCGCCAAGAACTAGATTACAATGCTTCTCTCCCATATCGAACGTATTTACTTCGAGCTTCGGCTACATCAGCAGCTACCTTCAGTTGAGCTGCTCGCCAAGAACTAGATTACAATGCTTCTCTCCCATATCGAACGTATTTACTTCGAGCTTCGGCTACATCAGCAGCTACCTTCAGTTGAGCTGCTCGCCAAGAACTAGATTACAATGCTTCTCTCCCATATCGAACGTATTTACTTCGAGCTTCGGCTACATCAGCAGCTACCTACAGTTGAGCTGCTCGCCAAGAACTGGATTACAATGCTTCTCTCCCATATCGAACGTATTTACTTCGAGCTTCGGCTACATCAGCAGCTACCTTCAGTTGAGCTGCTCGCCAAGAACTAGATTACAATGCTTCTCTCCCATATCGAACGTATTTACTTCGAGCTTCGTCTACATCAGCAGCTACCTTCAGTTGAGCTGCTCGCCAAGAACTAGATTACAATGCTTCTCTCCCATATCGAACGTATTTACTTCGAGCTTCGGCTACATCAGCAGCTACCTACAGTTGAGCTGCTCGCCAAGAACTAGATTACAATGCTTCTCTCCCATATCGAACGTATTTACTTCGAGCTTCGGCTACATCAGCAGCTACCTACAGTTGAGCTGCTCGCCAAGAACTAGATTACAATGCTTCTCTCCCATATCGAACGTATTTACTTCGAGCTTCGGCTACATCAGCAGCTACCTTCAGTTGAGCTGCTCGCCAAGAACTAGATTACAATGCTTCTCTCCCATATCGAACGTATTTACTTCGAGCTTCGGCTACATCAGCAGCTACCTTCAGTTGAGCTGCTCGCCAAGAACTAGATTACAATGCTTCTCTCCCATATCGAACGTATTTACTTCGAGCTTCGGCTACATCAGCAGCTACCTTCAGTTGAGCTGCTCGCCAAGAACTGGATTACAATGCTTCTCTCCCATATCGAACGTATTTACTTCGAGCTTCGGCTACATCAGCAGCTACCTTCAGTTGAGCTGCTCGCCAAGAACTAGATTACAATGCTTCTCTCCCATATCGAACGTATTTACTTCGAGCTTCGGCTACATCAGCAGCTACCTTCAGTTGAGCTGCTCGCCAAGAACTAGATTACAATGCTTCTCTCCCATATCGAACGTATTTACTTCGAGCTTCGGCTACATCAGCAGCTATCTTCAGTTGAGCTGCTCGCCAAGAACTAGATTACAATGCTTCTCTCCCATATCGAACGTATTTACTTCGAGCTTCGGCTACATCAGCAGCTACCTTCAGTTGAGCTGCTCGCCAAGAACTAGATTACAATGCTTCTCTCCCATATCGAACGTATTTACTTCGAGCTTCGGCTACATCAGCAGCTACCTACAGTTGAGCTGCTCGCCAAGAACTAGATTACAATGCTTCTCTCCCATATCGAACGTATTTACTTCGAGCTTCGGCTACATCAGCAGCTACCTACAGTTGAGCTGCTCGCCAAGAACTAGATTACAATGCTTCTCTCCCATATCGAACGTATTTACTTCGAGCTTCGGCTACATCAGCAGCTACCTACAGTTGAGCTGCTCGCCAAGAACTAGATTACAATGCTTCTCTCCCATATCGAACGTATTTACTTCGAGCTTCGGCTACATCAGCAGCTACCTACAGTTGAGCTGCTCGCCAAGAACTAGATTACAATGCTTCTCTCCCATATCGAACGTATTTACTTCGAGCTTCGGCTACATCAGCAGCTACCTACAGTTGAGCTGCTCGCCAAGAACTAGATTACAATGCTTCTCTCCCATATCGAACGTATTTACTTCGAGCTTCGACTACATCAGCAGCTACCTTCAGTTGAGCTGCTCGCCAAGAACTAGATTACAATGCTTCTCTCCCATATCGAACGTATTTACTTCGAGCTTCGGCTACATCAGCAGCTACCTTCAGTTGAGCTGCTCGCCAAGAACTAGATTACAATGCTTCTCTCCCATATCGAACGTATTTACTTCGAGCTTCGACTACATCAGCAGCTACCTTCAGTTGAGCTGCTCGCCAAGAACTAGATTACAATGCTTCTCTCCCATATCGAACGTATTTACTTCGAGCTTCGGCTACATCAGCAGCTACCTTCAGTTGAGCTGCTCGCCAAGAACTAGATTACAATGCTTCTCTCCCATATCGAACGTATTTACTTCGAGCTTCGGCTACATCAGCAGCTACCTACAGTTGAGCTGCTCGCCAAGAACTAGATTACAATGCTTCTCTCCCATATCGAACGTATTTACTTCGAGCTTCGGCTACATCAGCAGCTACCTACAGTTGAGCTGCTCGCCAAGAACTAGATTACAATGCTTCTCTCCCATATCGAACGTATTTACTTCGAGCTTCGGCTACATCAGCAGCTACCTTCAGTTGAGCTGCTCGCCAAGAACTAGATTACAATGCTTCTCTCCCATATCGAACGTATTTACTTCGAGCTTCGGCTACATCAGCAGCTACCTACAGTTGAGCTGCTCGCCAAGAACTAGATTACAATGCTTCTCTCCCATATCGAACGTATTTACTTCGAGCTTCGGCTACATCAGCAGCTACCTACAGTTGAGCTGCTCGCCAAGAACTAGATTACAATGCTTCTCTCCCATATCGAACGTATTTACTTCGAGCTTCGGCTACATCAGCAGCTACCTACAGTTGAGCTGCTCGCCAAGAACTAGATTACAATGCTTCTCTCCCATATCGAACGTATTTACTTCGAGCTTCGGCTACATCAGCAGCTACCTACAGTTGAGCTGCTCGCCAAGAACTAGATTACAATGCTTCTCTCCCATATCGAACGTATTTTTTTCTCCAAATTTCTATGATACCATTCTTGAAATAAACCTAAACTATTTAATAAAAGAAGAGACAACAAATTCGCCAATTCAGCCAATTTTCAGTCAAGATATCGCGTAACGTACAACTAACATACAGACGAATTGTAAATCTCCTCCTTTGTGGAGTCGGTTAATAAGTAAGTAGCCGTGGCAGCTCAAGTGCTAGTCTAAACTTTACTATGATCGGATCTCGGAACAACGAGCGTCTCGGATACGATCCTCGCCGACACCGATGAGATGGTTAATGACAGTTGTAAGTTTTGGTATACACGATTGCCAAGTCATGCGTGTAGCCGGGGGTGCGGGAAGTATAGCCCCTTCGCCCTTGCGTCTGAAATCAAGGCTAAGGCTGGACCAATATACTGAAGCTGCGGAGGTGAGCATGGGCGTCCGCTGATCACCCTCCACGCCTACGGCTTTACGAAAACAGCCATTTCATCTTAGTCCTCGCGGATGACAACGCATCTGCATTTTGATTCGTAATCGGTGATAGGTGTAGATTTCTTTGGGCCACAGTAACCACTTACCATCAGGTGGACTGTGTGCTCGTTTGTCCGCACTATCCTAAAAAACAGCGCTGATTTTCAGTGGACTCGAACGGATGGTAACGGACAGCCAACATTTAAAGAAATCAAACCCAAGTTCAGTGCCTGCATGACTGTCTGTTCGGAGCTCACTGACATATTCACAAGCATATAAATGACCCCCAAGCACACGCCCCAAGACTACAGACTATAAGAACGTAAAGTCTTGGGGCTTGTGGAAGCTTAGCTTAGCATAGCTTGCCAATTCTTAGCGCTTGCCAAGCGCTAAGACTTGGCAAGTTAACATGACGGAGAAACTGCATGTTGGAGACTTGATACGAGTATAAAACACTAGAATTGTGAATAACAACTTTATTGATTTAATTTCCCAATATAATAATAATAATGTAGCTGCTAATAGTAATAGCTCAGATGGTTAGGGCTCGCTGTAAATTTCACAGTACGCGAGCAACCCGGGTTCGATCCCCGCCGGCACCAATGATTAATTGTGCTCGGCGATGAAGTAAGGAAACCTGCATGTCTGAGAATTAAGAAAAAAAAATATTTCGTAGACACGAATTGAGGTAGCGCGGTGGACACTTCCTTGCACTAAAAACTCTCTCAGAGATGAGAGGAGCCCTGTGCCCAGTAGTGGGACGTATGTAGGCTGTAACTTGTTAACTTTTAATTTCTTCCAGACCGAATATTCGATCACGGCACAACAGGGTTATAGTGCACGAATGCGTGTGCAAGCATAGGTTGACTGCCCCCATTCCCTCACTCCCATAGTTCGATGGGACGGTAAACTAACACGCTCGGAGAGAGATCGAGCGCGGGACCAACGGCTTTACGTGTTTTCCGTGACACTGGCTGAAACACCGCCATCTTCTTACTGTCATTGACATCGGGTTGCTACTAAGAAATTCTTGACAAAAAAACTCAATAAAATTGTATTTTTCGGTTCGAACCAGTATTCGAACCCGAGACTTCATATATAATAGCTATAGGTCCTATACAATCTTTTCAACGAAATCACTTTATAGGGTGTCCTATATAAAATTACATAATACTAGCCTGACTTTTTTACCGTCAAAAAAAATAGATTGTAACAGGCGAATGGAATAGAAGCCTATGACATGACGGCTGTGAAATTGATCTAACAATAAATACTACTAATTTTAAATAAACTTTCGGTACTAAAAATATATCAACAAAATTTGAAACGAAATAAATAAATCAATTAAAAACCATCGAAAATAAAATAATGCACACCCAATTAGTAGTATTTATTGATAGATCAATTTCATGTGTTAATGTAAAATAAAAAATATAAAATACTAGTGCCATAGGCTTCTATATCGTTCACCTGCTACATCCTATTTTTTTCTAGACGGTTAAAAAATCATCCAGGTAAACTACTCTCATTATTTTCCTTAGAGTATAAGGAAACCTTTCCCTCCATTGTCCTGTGCACTCCTCCACTTTTTGTAATAAATCGTGGTCTGTTTTTGGAGTGACTTTTGAAAATCCTTCCCCTTGTCCATGAAACGTACTCAATCATTTCAGTTGTTCAAGACACAAGTTCAGAAACATTATATCTCTCTAACCCCTCATTGTTACTTCTTTCATTTATGATCACTGATCTGTCGCCTAAAGTCTTATAAGTTGCCTCTTTAATGCATAAGCTGTTATCATATGTTACTATATTGCACCCTACCATTGAAGCTTTATATATTACGTACTAGAAGTGACGCCTAGACCCAGAATACAAAATAATTGTACTACGTAGCCTAGACTCGAGCGTCGCAACACGCGTTAGAGTCCACGGGCTCAAGCTGACTTGTGACTTGCTGCCCGCACTGCCTCAGGTTTTGTACGTGATGACTTTTCTAGTACGTAGTACATATTAGTATGTTATATTTGAATAGTTATATTATTTAGTTAGAACTAATTGTCAAATTTTTCAGTTTTTTTACCAAAATACTAAAACAATAATTCTCTAAAACGGTCTCTCTAGTACCCCCCTTTCTACGCCACTGTTTAGGTATAGAACTTGTGCAGTATTAAATTGTTTATTGAATGATAAAAAATGTTGTGAATAAATAGAAGATTATATATTTAACTTTTTATCGTTTTTAGTATCCTATCTCTAGAGCCTTATAGAGTACGGTGAGGGTGTACAACCGGCAACACATGTTGACCAAGCCTCAGTCAACGCGAGCGCAGGCAAACTGATCCAAGCAAGTGCTACAGCGGCAGTGCTACATGGGTCAATGTCTTACATCTTATCTATCAAAAGGTTTAAGATATTTATTGAGAAAAAATTGTTTAATAAGGGTTATTATACAACTAAACAGTACATGATTGATAACAACCCTTGGGAGTGAGGTGATCGCTGTATTTAAATGTATTCATGCTTAATTTTATATTGTTATGCTTAATTGTATACTGTTAATTAATGTTTATAAAAATCTTGCTTAGTTTATTGCTGGTTCTTCAAATAACAGAGGCTTTTACTGAACCAGTGGTAAAACTCAAATGACTTTCAATAAGTATTCTTATAATTTATATTAGATGAAAATGATTCTATTCTAATCTACATAATATTGGTTAAGTTTGAAGGAAATCAATGTTAACTCTGACTGTCAATTGTTCACCAGTGTTTGTAGAGACCACAACATGTTGGCCGTAATCAGTTCCTATAGAGAATGGTAACGATATGGATGACGTGGCAGTTATTGCAGCTCCTGCTATATATTCGATGAGCCGACTGTCACGCGGACACTACTTCTGTCTCTCCAACTGGTTAGACTTTCAGTGACATACACACGTACGTAAGAATTATATATCTTAATATTAAATTACGTGTTTGTCCGCGATGGACTCCTAAACTACTTAACCGATTTTAATCAAATTTGCACGCCGCACCATGTGAAGTTTGGTCCAACTTGAGAGATGGGATAGTTATCTTGCCCACAATTTTTTTTCGCAAAAAAAAAGATCTTAGTCCTCAAGGGTGATAATCTCAGACATGCAATATGTGGTGACAACCACTACACAAGTAGAAATATGAAGATGTAAACATAAACAAAATAACATATAAACATTCACGCCTTTCGCCGAAAGGGGTAGGCAGAGAATACGGACTTCCATTTGGCACGATCCTGACACACCTCGATCATTTGATTATGCAATGACGGAATAATCCATTGCATAATCAAATGGATTTAAAACTTCCAATCTTAATATAATATTATGTATAAAAATCCCGTGTCACAATTTCAATAATACTAGTTTTTACGGATTTCATTATCAAAATTTAAATATACGCGATATTTAAATTTTTAAATACCCGATGTTTCGAGCGCTTTACAGCACCCATGGTTAAGGGGGCGACTGAGATGTTCAACGTCCAGATGTCATAGTTAACCGCGGTTACCACAGATTAAAATTATTAACTTTTGTTTCGATCTACACAGTATGAACTTATGTTATCTTGACGTCTTGTAGTTGTATGCTTGTGTTGGGATTTCATTATATTAATTATAGGATCCCAAGCAGATGGTAGCACCCAGCCATCTTCTCTGTCGAAATTGGAATGTTTTTTGATTTCAATAGCCTCGCGAATCATCCTTGGAAGGAATCGGTGTTCTTTAGCGAGGATTTGTTGTCTACCAAATCTGATGTATTGACGGGGGCGATCCTGTATGTGTTCACAGACTGCAGACTTCCCGGAGCGTCGATTCTTCACATCAGCTATATGTTCTTTAACGCGGGTTATTATTGATCTTTTAGTTTGTCCTATGTAGGAGAGACCACATTCACAATCAAGCTTGTACACTATAAATAACTTATATGTACGTCTACAAATAAAAAGGAATTTTGTGAATGTGTATTTATTGTACGCCTCGACTTGATAGGACAGTTTTTATCCCGTTAAGTGACCACCAGTATTTCCATTGTAAAAATTAGAATTTTCATTAGGGGCAATGGTCGTCGGAAGTTCAGAACGTCAACTTGACCAGTTAGTAGTTATTCATAATTCTATGTCAAAATATTTAGAAGAACAGGATCCTGACTTAAATGCAGACAACGCTCCTGCAATCCCTCTGGCCTTGCAGTTGTTCATGGGCGGCGGTGATCACTCACCATCTGCTGAGCCGCAGTTCTTTTAAAGCATAAGACAATGACAAACGAGCACACAGTCCACCTCATTACTGGTAAGTGGAAGCTGTGGCCCATAGACATCTATATCTTCGATTGAGACTTAAAACTGCAAATGCGTTGTCACTCGTGAGGACTAAGACGGAATGCCTCGTTTCCAGTAAAATGGGTCTCCGGATCTCTACACTCACCATATGAAACACGGCAGCATTAACCTGTTATTTCACGCTGGTATTCTGTGAGAGCGTGGACCTGCCCCGGTCGAGCCGACCCATTCGTGTTACAACTATAATATAGCTGCAACTTGCCTCTACCAAGTTTAAAATGCATGCTCGTTTGTGACCTCTTCTATAAAAAAGAGATGGCAATCCATGTGCAAGAGGCAAGAGAT